CCTGTCCCTGGGGACACCCCCAGACCCCGTGGTGTCCCCAAGCCCAGGTGACACAGGTGTCTTTTCAGTCCACCATCATGGTGTTCCAAGCGCTGGCCCAGTACCAGGTGTCAGCCCAACACGAGAGTGACCTCAACTTGGACGTGTCGCTGCTGCTGCCACGAAGAGCCAGCGCCCTCACCTACCGCATCGAGAACCGCAACGCCCTGGTGGCACGTTCTGCTGAGGTACCTGGGCCACCGCGGGGCCACCACTGCCCCCAGGACCCTCTCTTTCCCCTCTGTGCCTCTCCGTGCCCAGAAGAAGCTTAGCCTCTCACTGTGGACTTGGTTGTCCTTCTCCCTTCCTTGTCCCCTCCGTGTGCTGTTCCCTCTGTGTCCTTCAAGGTTTGGGACATCTCAGGTTGAGCTTGTCCAGTCCCTTGTTGTGACCTGGAACGTTCCTGTCACCTTCATGTCCCTCCATGTTCTCTGATCTCCATGTCCCCACCATGGCCTAGGATGTCCCACCTCCCTCCCAGGGGACGTGCCCATCCCTCCCCAACATCTCCTGTCCCTGCAGACCAAGTTCAACGAGGACTTCACGGTGAAGGCCGAGGGTGTGGGCAAGGGGACGATGACAGTGGTGACGGTCTACAACGCCAAAGTCCCCGAGAAGGAGAACAAGTGTGACAGCTTTGACATGAGGGTGGAGGTGGAGGAAGTGAGGGATGGTGAGTCCCCCGTGTCCCCTCCGTGTCCTCGCTCTGTGTGTCCTCCCCACATCCCCTTTGATGTCCCCTCATCGTCCCCACAGGCAAGGAAGACGACGATGTCATCAGCAGCGTCAAGATCAAGATCTGTGCCAGGTAGGACGGCATGGAGACGATGGAGACATCGGGGAGAAGGATGGAGATGTTGGGGACAAAGAGGGCTCACTTCCACCCTGTGCCATGGGGACCTTGGGGACAGTGGAACAGGTAAGTGAGCTCAGCCTTGTCCCCACAGGTACCTGGGCAAGGTGGATGCCACCATGTCCATCATCGACGTCTCCATGCTCACAGGCTTCACACCTGACATTCAGGACCTCAAGAGGGTGAGTGTGGGGACATGGGGACGGGTCCTGGTGTGGCTGAGTGTCCCCAAGTGTCCCCAAGGGTCCCTCGTACCCCGTGTGACGCTGTCCCTGTCCCCAGCTGACGGATGCGGTGGACAAATATGCCTCCAAGTTCGAGATCGACCAGGGAGAGGAAGATCGGAGCAACGTCGTCATCTACGTCGACAAGGTGGGGACACAGGGCACGTCGGGGCCTGAGGGACAAGGTGGGACAGGGATGGGGAGAGGGACAATGTGGGACAGGGCTGGGGACAGGGACAGGGTGGGACAGGGCTGGGGACAGGATGAGACGTGTCCCTGTGTCCCCAGATCTCGCACAAGGTCGAGGAGTGTTTTGCCTTCAAGGCTCACCAGCGTTTCCAGGTGGGCTTGATCCAACCTGCAGCTGTCACCATCTACAGCTACTACAAGATCGGTGTGTCCACGTCCCCTCGGGTCACCCTCGGGTCTCCTCTGTCCCCACACACTCCACAGAGTCCCCTCTGTGTCCCCTCCCGTCCCTTTGTCCCACTGGGTCCCTGATGTTCTCCTTCCCACGCTGGGTCACCACGTCCTGCTGTGTCCTCAGTCTCCTGCTGACCCTCTCCGTCCCCATATCCCTGCTCTGTCCCCATATCCCTGCTCTGTCCCCATGTCCCTGCTCTGTCCCCATGTCCCTGCTGGTCCTCTCCCCCCGTGTCCCTCCCTGATGTCCCCATGTCCCCACAGATGATCGCTGCACCAGGTTCTACCACCCAGACAAGGAGGGTGGCAAACTGAGCAAGATCTGCCAGGGGGAGGTGTGCCGCTGCGCTGAAGGTGACACTGGGGACACAGGGACATGGGGGCAGGCTGGGACTGTAGCCCTGCTATGGTGGGACGTGTCACGGTCGTGATGGGACAAGTCATGGCCGCGATGGGACGTGTCGTGGCCG